AACCATCACAAATATATTTACATTGTCCATACATTAGCTTGTATTTGGGATAACATTATTTAAAAATTAAAATAACTTAAAATAAAGAAATTACATAATGAAGAACAAGAAGATATGAGAATGGAGATGGTAAAAAAGATTTTGATATTTATTTGTATATTTAAATTTGCATTTAAAGAATTAATTAGAAAAAAAATTATGATATATTTTATCAATATGAAATTGTGCATTATGATAATCATGTGGTTTCAGTTGCAATAAAGAAAATATTTATTGCTTTTACTTTCATCCGTTACTTTTTAATCTTAGACTTCAAATAATAAGCTCTAACTTTACAATAAATCTAATATCCACATCTCACAAACGGAGATGTTAAAGCGAATATCAAAATACTAATTTATATAAATCCAGTTATTATTTACTAATTTATTGAAAAATATTTTTCAAAATCAGAACAATATATTAAACATGATAAAGTAAATATCATTACAGGTGCTTCTATCCAAATAATTATTAATAAATCAAGTTTATTTGATGTGAAATTAAAAGTAATTAATATTCCAATATACCAAAATAAAATAAAAGTTAATAGTATACATTAAAGTAGAGGATAACTTTAGACGACAATAAGAACTACTAAAAATAAGAATTTTTTAAGTAAAATAATCTCTTCATGCAATTTAGTTCTTATATCTTTTAATTTAACCTTACGATTATATCCTTTGAAATTTTAGATAAGAATTATAATCATGGATAAGAGGTATAATATTGAAATAACATTAGAAATTATTTCTCTAATTCCAAGCTATTTAATCGAAATCATATACATTAAAATTTTAAATATTAAATCCCAGCTATTAGCATTGAAAAATTTTATTAAGCCCTACAGATTATAATAATCATTTATTTTACAAATATACCTACTGAAATAATACAATTTAAATCCAAGAGTTTTAATTAATTTAATCTTCACCAATCTAACATAATAGATATATTTGTTGCCAAAAAAATTCGTGTAAACAATTTTTTTAAAGTATTTTGTAAATATATACAATCCAATAAGCAACACTATTTAAGTAAATTAACCATAAATATTAACTAACAAATCTGCATTTAATTCATACTCAAATAGCTTTCCTACACTATCCAGATATTAATATCCAATTAATTCTTAAAAAAAATCATTTACTTTTAATTTAATCAATAACGGATTGATAGTTACATATTCTGATGTTTCAAAATATATTAAAATATTTTATGGAAATTCAACATTTATGAATCTCAGATATGATTAAAATTATAAAATATCTAAAATTTCTAGACAGTAAAGAAGATTTCCAGCGAAAAACAGAAATAAACTGCTGCTAGCTAATCCTATCATCATCCAACTACCAAGAGATTTAAGTTTATTGGCAGTTTGCAATTAATTTATGTTCAAGACTTTGGGTATTGATAATTTAATAGTCTAAAGAGTCATATTAACCTACTATTCATTTTGATCTACTAAACTAGCATTAATTTCTACTTCTAAATAAATTTATGTTGTAATTGATTCCAATATTTGAATTTAAAAAACATATATGGTATCAAGTAAGTTAGTTTGATCAATTTTAACTACAGGAATTATAGTAATTATATATATGTTTTCTTAAATAGAAGGGATAGAAGATTTAATTGAATTAGTAAAATTGCTAATGGTTTCATTTAATTTAACTTTATTAGTGAATGATAATTGAATATATTGAATTTATTAAGTTTAATTAAGATAATCTAATTTTAAAACAGTATTAGGTATACAAACACTTGGTTAATTTAGTGAGTTATTACAAAACCAATTTGTTTCAATCTAACACATACTTGAACAATCATCATAATTAGATTTTGCATCGTCTTCATCAACAATAATATGAGTTTAATTATCAACTTCACAATAATCATTAAGAATTATATATCCTTCAATGCATCCTATACAAATTCCTTAATTACAGTTTTAGCATTCTTGTTAACACTAAAACATGCAATTAAAACAGCCATCATAGGGAATATTATTTCCATCTTCACATTCTTCTAAACCCATAACTATAAATCCATCTCCACATATTGAATGACAACTTTAATTAGATAAAGACCAGCCTTAAATTTCACAGGCTTAACATACTCCTTATTAACAGTCAGTACATTCAGCTTGACAATTAAATTAGCATTCAAAACAGCCATCATAAGGAATATTATTTCCATCTTCACATTCCTCCAATTCAATAACAATATGTTCATCTCCACAAATCGGTTTACATGAATTATTTTGTAATTCAAAATATTGTTCACAAATGATGCATGCATAACTATCAACACATTATTAGCAATAAGGGGCACATTCAAATTTACATTCAAAACATCCATCCCCATTATTTTTATTTCCATCATCGCATTGCTCCGTTGAAAATACAGCTACTTCACCATCTCCGCAATATTAATAGCAACGATAATCTAAAAGCTGCCAACCATCAAGACACTCATAACATTCACTTCCAATACAATTTAAGCATTCAAATTAACAACTTTATTAGCATTTCTAGCATCCATCAAAGTATAAATTGTTCTCATCATCACATAATTCTTATTCAATTGCAATTCCATCATTGCATATGGGAGTACATGAGGATTTAATATTTTTAGATTCATAAAATTTCTCGCATTCTAAACATTTACCAATAAGACTTTCTCTACAATTTTGTATCGCTTGTATTCTACATTAATTATAAAAATATCCAAATATTCCAAAATCATAAAGACTACATGTTAGATTGCTGACCAATTTATATTTAGAATTTAAGTTATTAAATAGATTATGTTAGTAATGACCATTCTCAATCAAATTATTAATATTGTTATAACAACCTCTATCTTCTTATTCTTCTTAAGATTCAGAACCATTACAAAAATATTTACACTGCCCATATATTAATCTATATCTTGGTTAACATAATTTACATTTTCCAAATTAGCAAACACTACAATTCAATGGGCAAGAATATTTACATTAATAACACCCATCATATTGTTATGTGTTACCATCATCACATTCTTCAAAATAAGTAATTATAGAATTACCACATACTGGTAAACACATCTTATTTTATTCATAATATTGCCACCCTTGCTGACATTTTAAACATACACCTCTTACGCAGTTTACACAACCTTCAACACAATCATAAATCTTAGCAAAGCATCCGTCAAATGGATAGATATTTCCATCAAAACAATCATAATTTTTTTTAATAAATATTTAAAAATCTCTCATAGCAAGATAATCAGAAGAAAATAGAGATGTTTAACGTAAACTAGGATTTATTCTAATTGTTAGAGTGATCAAATTTTTAATGTGCCTATATTATTGAATGTTGATCTAATTTGTGATCAAATAATTATAATCCCAATCATAATTCCTCTTATCAATTTGTACTTACAATAAAAGTGTTGAACTACTTACTAAAACCTCATCAATAAATATATCGCATTAGTGATATAAATTGAAAGTTATTATCTTCATTGAAATACTAACAGCATCATGATCTGGTAGATTTATTGTTTTAGTTGAAGTCAAGGATTATAATTCATAAATAGAATAATCTAGTATTTATTGTTACAATACCTGCTACTATATTTCTATTAACATAGGTTATTCCATTTTAATCTGACCATCCTTCATTAAAATCAACTTAATTAAAAGTTTTAGCAGTAAAATATTGAATATATAGTATTTAATTGAAGCATCCATTCTCGCCACATGAATCACAATCTTTTGGGCATTCCTCTATGAACAATTCAAAATCTGAAATTCCCCACCACGACGTACTTGTAATTAATATTTAAGCAGTTGGGCTTTAATGATAAGTAGTTAAATCAAGTAGAAAAGTTTCATCGTATTTATATGGTAATCCACAAAAATTACTTGAACTTGTAGCACCAGAAAAATATTATTTATGCATTTCAATATTATCTACATAAACTAAAAATAGTGCCTCCCAGTCTATCCTATAAATATTGTTTAATATTGAACCTCCAAAACAAAAATTTTAATCTTAATTAATAATGTGGCTTAAGCTCAAAGGTTTTTAATATGTAAGTATCTTCATTAAAACATACATAACCTCCAAAAAGTAATTTTGATTGGCAAGTTGATGAAGCCTAAGATTGATGCTTTTTGCTATAAAACCAATCTAAAATTTAATATGGAAAATATACCTACTGTAACATCCCTAAAAAAATTTTGGTAAACAAGGGCTTCAGAATAGCACCTAATTATCAGATGCAAAAACAGAAAGCTTTTTAAAATATTCTTAGTTGAATTTTTAAACATTATTTATTTAATTAACGTGTTCAAATATTATTAAGTAATTAATGATTAAAAATCTTTCTTTTAAAATGAATTTTATTAGATACAGGATTAGATACTACCTTAGGCAAACTTATAATAAAAAGGATTGATATCATCTTTCAAAATTGACTCTAAATAATCAGAAGGGTTTTGAAGAAATTATTAAACTTTAATTATTACTTTAGCAGTCATAATATCAAGTAAATAATATAATATCATGCAATTTTTAAATAAATTTCTTAATTTCTTTCTTCCCTTTTTTTTAATTTTAGATTAACTAAAATATTTTAG